TCGAGTTCTTATTAAAATTTTTGTTTTTTTTACTTTGAAATTGCTATAGGCTGGTAACACAGACAACTTTGCTCATTCCAGGAAGTCTGCAGTTTTACCTCTAGTGTTAAATTTTTCCATCCCTAGTTTTAATTGGTATTAACCTGTAATAAAACTAACTGCTAGACAACACTAGATGAGCTTCAGAATATCAGCAGTCAGTAATCAGGCTATTTTACAATTTTTATTGTTAAGCTTGCATCCTTACTTATATTGAATTGCAATAAATTGTGTCGCACTGTCAAGTAGTACTTCTCCCAGGTGTTTTTATGTTGAAACGAATGAGGTTCTTATCCTACTAAAGGATGCACTAGCTCAAATGTTGGTTGTTAAGATGTTCTGAGTCCAATTTGCCATAGGATCTTATTTTGAAGGCACCTAATCTTTGATGGCTGATGAGCACCCAATTTTAAAATAATCAAATCTTACATGCATCAGCTAGACAAAATAAATAATCTTATACATGTTAAATTCTTCAACTTTTGTGCCTATTTTTTGGGAAGGTTTCCAGTTTCTTTTAGCTTGGTATTTTTTGTAGACTTCAAATTCAGTTTTTGTGATCTTCCTTTGCTATCAGAGAAAAGTCCAAGCTCCATGAAGACATAGTCGCCCGCAGGCAGAAAAAACTTCTTATGAGACGTGCCCGCCAGAAATCTTTTGAAGAGGCAGCTTTACGAGAAGCTGAGCTACTTCAAGAACTTGATAGGTGTTGCTTCCTTAGTGGCTCATCTTATTTTATATTGTACTGATTAGATATTTGTTGTTCCACAACTAACATATGGACTAATGTACCAGGGAGAGAGCAGCTGAAGTTGAAAAGGATATCGAGAGACAGAGATTGCTAGAACTTGAGCGTGCAAAAACCAGGGAGCTGCGACAAAACCTTGAGATGGAGAAGGAAAGACAAGCCCAGGTAAAAGCCCTTTTCAGTACTGTCTTGATCTGCGATGAAAACCCTTTTCCATACTATCTGGATCTGCTAAGTTTCAAATAATTGACATTGGAAATGCTGATAATTGGCAGATTATGGCAAATTTGGGTGAAGAATTTGTCAGACCATGGTTCACAGTCTTTGAGACTAAATATTATATTGACTTTGAAACTACACCTTCCCCTTGTATTCTTGTTGCATGTCTTATATTAATTTGACTAGAAGGACCGTGAAGGCCGGAGGACTTGGGCCTAACTGCTTTCTGTAATGCCAATATCCTTTGGCAATCATGCTTTTCCCCTTCCTCCCTCTTTCCCTCTACCTATTGATCTATACATGTAGAGTTTTATATTAATGCTAGCATTCATCCATCTCTCCCATCTCTACGTATCTATACATGTAAGATGTATCTATTTATGAATACATACATCATACATGCATAGACACCCACGAGAATGAATCAAGTAGATATTTTGAAGTCATCAATTGGAAGGAAATGAGAATTCATCTTCTCTTTTTTGTTTTTTGTTGGCAAAGTATTTGGCATTCCAGTTTTCTGCCATCCCAAGTCCTCTGATAAAGTATCATTCTTTGACAAATTTATTAACTTGCTTGGGGAACAAAGTCATACCATTCAAGTTTATTATATTTACTGTCATTCTGGAAACCTGAATGGAACTGAGAAGGTGGAAATACTGTATCTGTAAGTCATGGGCCTTTAAGAGGATGCATTTTCTGCCGTCTCTTGTTTCTGGGTTAAAAAAATGTTATGTGTAATACTACAGCGAAGAAGATTTGCATACTAATATCTTGAACCTTTTCCTTTGGCAGAGAGAGCTTCAGCGTGAATTGGAACAGGCTGAAGCAGGAGTACGACCATCACGACGTGACTTTTCCTCTACCTACAGCAGGTGATCCTTTTATGTGATTTGTGGGAACTGCTTAATTATTCTGAAGTTTTGTTCATGGATAGATAGTGTAGACTAAAATATTTATTTTTCAGTGGATATAAGGGTGCAGGGGCATGCCACAACAAATGTAAATTAAATATGAACCATGGATTATTGTTGAGCATACTTGTTTTGCTGCATCTATAATTATATGCTGCAATTACTTTTGGTTTAGACTCAGTTTGGTATATTCATTTTGCAGTCGGCCACGCGAAAGGTATCGTGAAAGAGAAAATGGAAGAGCAGGTAGTGAAGGTAGCACGAGATCAAGTTCTGGAAATTTGCAGCTTGAAACTTCTACTACCAGTTCTTCCATGGGGACCATGCCAACTGTGGTTCTGTCTGGGTCCCGGCAATTTTCCGGCCAGCCTACCATTTTACAATCTCGTGATCGTCTGGATGATGGTGGCAGTGGTTATGAAGAAAATCTGGATGGAAGCAAAGACTCAGGTGACACGGGTAGTGTTGGAGATCCGGACTCAGTTTCAGCATTTGATGGACAGCCTGGTGGATTTGGGTCAGGTCAGAGGCATGGTTCAAGAGGGAGCAAGTCCAGGCAGGTAGTGGAGCGGAGAGAACGGGATGGGAGACGAGAAGGAAAGTGGGAAAGAAAACATTTATGACTAATGACTTCAGAATTAGTGAAGTCTGGTTCTAGGTTAGGATACTCAAGTGTGTATTTTGTAAGGAGAGCTGTTGATAAGAGTTACGACGTGGTTTCTTAATTTGGTGGTGATCTGATGAGGTCATCTTCATGTAACATACTTGTACCTTAAGATATAAAATTGTGTTTAGTATTGGATAAGGTCGCTTTTTTATTTTTAAATACAAAAGAGTCTAAACTACAAAATGAAGGGGGTTTCTCACATACACACACACAGAGTGTCATGGGGGTTCGAACCTCTTAGAGCCCATCTAGATTGATAGATTTGGGAGGGAGATTTTGGATTCGGAAGGCCCAAATACAAATCATCCTATTTAATTTTACTTTTAGCAAATGTATTTAGATTAATTATGAAGAAAATTTATTCCATCTAATCGTCATAAAATGGTAGGATGTTAACACATTATAACTTATTCTTTTACATTTTTGAACCATAACTTATCCCTTTAAATCATTCCCCAAAATGAAAAAAATTTCACCGTATTTCCTACTCCAATATACTCTAATGACATGTTTACTAATCCGTAATTGAATTAGGAGGAATTGAATTGAGGAGGAGTTGGATTGAGAATAATTAGATTCTAGATTCTTATTAAAGTTTACTAAATCATATGAATTGAGGGGAGTTAGATTCCGGATTCCTATTGAAGTTGTTTATTAAACAATATGGAATTGGGATAGGAGTGGTATTAATTACTAAAATGTCCTCTTTGTTGGGTTAAAATAGATGGCAAAGTTGAAATTTTAAAATTGTATGAGGACATATTGGGTAAAAAATGAATTACTAATGGGTTAGTTCTCCAGGAATTAAAATACCACATCCCACTCAAGAATTGAATTCTTCCAAAATAGGAATTCAATTCTAATTTTGTGTAGGTCCCACTTACTTTTTAATTTCTTGATGTGAAGTAAACGTAGGAATCCTCCATACATGGAATTCAATTCCTGATTAGTAAACACACCATAAATCTAGTTAGTTATCAAATCTAATGCAGTCCTGGACACCAAACAAGCACGAAATAGTGACTCTCTTTTCCCTCCTCCCTCCTTCATCTCTATAGCCTCTCTCTTCTATCTATATTTCCGTGTGTGTGTGTGTGTGTGTGTGTGTGTGACAGGGCTAGCCTATTGATTTTGGAGGTCCCGTGCAAAGAGAGATGTTGATGCCCCTATGTATACAAGTAATAAAAAAAAACTTGTAATCCATAAATAGGGATTCACCTTTTTTTTCTAGGCTCTTGCAATCATGCTTTTAAATTCCAAGTTTTGCATACAATATCTAACTTAGATAGCAAAATCACACTATGCTTCGGTTGAATTGCAAAGGGAAGTTCGAAAGACTAACGAAGAACACTTTTTTTTAATTTAAAATTTAAAATTTTTATGTGATAAGGAAGAGACCTTTAGAAAAGCAAAACACGTTAAAAACAAAAGGCAATTAAAAAAATCAATTCACAGATTGGGTTAGGCAATTGAAAACAAAAGGCTCATTTTTTTGTTTTGTTTTATCCAAAGGCCCATTTTCTTTTTAAAGAACGAAGTCTGGATAAGTTAAGGGCCTTTTTTTTTGTTTTTTGTTTTTTTCTGCCTTCCTTCCTTCCAAATAAGTGGGCTTAAAAATTTTAGGAGGCCCCTAATTTTGGGGGCCCATGTGCCGTCACCCAGCCCGCACAATCTGTGAGCTGGGCCCACTCATCGATCTCTCTCATCTCTTGAGTCATTATATAGTGAGGGCTGTATATAACACCCTCGCTATAGAATTCTTGCTCGTCTCTTTGAATGCTATAACCAAAGGTGTCTAACACTCAAAATAACCTACTAATTACAAGCTGACAAGTAGTTTAGGCTACACTTAACCGTAGTCCTACTTTACCAAGGAAACAACAATAATTAAAAATTTGGCTTCAAAACGCGTTTCAATACAATAACGCAAGTTATACAACTTCGACTTCACAAATATGGTAATATAGTTTCGGTCAGAGATGAATAGCGTAATATGGAGGCTCACTCTACTGTTTTCCCTACATACACACTTGCAAAATTTCACTTTTGGGCTGACTATAAATTTCACCTTCGATATCAATCATTGCATTTGCATGGATGCCAGCTGAACATGCTTGCAAAGTCTGTCATGACTTGGTCTCCTTGTCATATTATATTTACATAAACTTGCTTGGTCAACCTTCTGACCTTGCTTCCTTGCATTTCTTTAGTTACGTCGTGGGTATTCTGAGGCACATATATTTATTAAGCAAGACAATGCAGAGGTGACATTGCCAACCAACCAAGGAGCAGCGCATTATATTAAGCTGGTCATACACATATGGATTTTTTTGATCCAGGGAAGAAACATGCCGTCCTCTCACTTTTTACCTTCTGTGTTCTTATCAGTTGTTTGTCTGCTGAAATTGAAAAAATGCGTTACGATAGTCCCCTTGTTGTGGAAGAGATTCATGTGGGAGTGATTCTTGATATGAAATCAAGGGAGGGAAGGATTGTTCTGAGCTGCATTTCGGCCGCCGTCGCTGATTTCTACCAGCTGCACAAAAACTACAGCACAAGAGTAGTTCTCCACAGCAGGGATTCCAAAGGAGAACCTCTACATGCTCTGTCAGCCGGTGAGCCATTCTTTATAACAAGTCTCATATATATCTACTTTGCTTTCTTAATTGGATTTTATTTATTATTTATTTTTTGTTACATTGGCTTGTTTCCGTAGGACTTTTTGGTTCAAATATTTCTTCTTTAACAATTCTGGTGGTTCAAATTAATTCAATATAGTACGTTTTTTTTGGTAGATTAGAATTCCATGGAAAGCGATAGTCTGATAAATTTTAGTCATTAAATTTTTCCTGAACTTTTGTGTGGTAGCTTATGTGGAAGTATCTTATTTATTTATATATATGTAGGCCCGCTCCAAACTTTATTTATTTCAAGAAATAAGGCAATGCCGAGTAAATTGTTACACTAAGATTGCCTTAAATGTAGAGGTATATGCTCTCGGCCACTTGATTTACAAACTTGCACCAAATTTTTCTTCTTTACCAGATTTTAGAGGCCTGATCATAGTGTTAATTGAACAAGAGTTGGTGCCTGGGATTATTCTTAATCATATATGACTAATGTATCTAAAGTTTTAATAGATCAGAACGTATATGGAAAAGCGATTGTGATTCATATCTATTAAAGTTGTGGTTTACATATATGTTACCCAATACAGCTCTTAATCTTTTGAATGACATCAAAGTGGAAGCAATAATTGGTGCACAAACAAGTATGGAAGCACACCTTTTGGCAGATTTGGGAGAAGCAGGTAAAGTCCCTGTGATGTCTCTCTCTGAACCTAGTCCTCCTCCTCTCAACGACAATAAATACCCCTTCCGTATTGGGATCATACCGGATCAAACTTCTCTAGCTATGGCAATCAGCGCCATTTTTGATATTTTCAAATGGAAGGATGTTACTCTTGTATATGATGAGAACACAGATTATGGGAAAAACATCATTCCAGCTGTGGTCAATTCCTTCCAAGAGACAAATGTGCGTATTGCACATACAAGTTCCATTGCTGCATCCTCTACAAATGAACAAATCATTGAAGAACTCCGTAAGTTAATGGAATTGAAGACTAAGGTATTTCTCGTCCATATTTCACATTTACTTGTACCTCGTCTTTTCTTAAATGCGAAAAAGTTAGGAATGATGAGTGAAGGGTACGTTTGGATTATGACATCAAGTAGCATGAATTTCTTGCATTCCATGGATTCTAATGTGATTGAGTCAATGGAAGGAGTGTTGGGTTTGAAGTCACATATTCCGGCATCAACCGGCCTCCAAAATCTTACTTCAAGATTGAGGAGGAAATTTTACATGGAGTATTCCAATAAGGAGGTAACTGAGTTAAGTCCTTATGGAATTTGGGCATATGATGCAACTTGGGTTCTAGCAGAAGCAGTTGAAAGGATAAGGAGAAAAAATTCTACTAGATCATTCTCCAAACATGGAGTTGTGTTGCTTAGAGAAATATTACAAACGGGATTTAAAGGTTTAAGTGGTGAAGTTCAATATCCAGATGGGAAACTAACTTCAGGTGGATTTGAGATTGTAAATGTGGTAGGGAAAGAGGAGAGAACGGTTGGATTTTGGCCTTGCAAAGAAGAAAAAACCACAAAAGAGTCGTGCATGCCGCTTAGTAATAGGAGAAATTTACTCTTCACCGACAATTTGGAAACAATCAGCTGGCCTGGGGGATCCAAGAGGCAATTGAGTAGTGAAATAAAACTGAGAATTGGTGTTCCAGTGAAAGTAGGGTTCAAGGAACTTGTGGGTGTGGAGCATGATCTTCAAACCAATAGAACATATGTAACTGGCTTCTCTATAGATGTATTCGAAACTGCAATTAAAGCTCTGCCGTATAAAGTACATTACGAATTTTTTCCATTTGAGAATGCAAATGGAGTTATGGCTGGGGCTTACAATGATCTTGTTTACCAAGTCTATCTCAAGGTATGGTTGATTAGTCCCAATACATAACAGCAACGACTTTTTTGTTTTCTCTATTACTTCTCAGTCTATTATACAAATTTTTAACTTAGTTCCTGGGTTTCTTTGTCACCTATTGGGGGCACGACACACTAGAATTATGATGCTGTTGTGGGAGATACGACGATCACATCGAACAGGTCTCAATATGTTGATTTCACAATACCATACACTGACTTCGGTGTGGGAATGCTAGTACCAAATGAGAAGGACAACATGTGGATTTTCTTGAAACCTCTCTCAACAGGTCTTTGGATAGCAAGTGCGGGTTTCTTCATCCTAACGGGTTTCATCGTATGGTTAATTGAGCGTCCTGTCAACCAAGAATTCCAAGGCACACGATGGCAGCAAATAGGAACGATATTCTGGTTCTCCTTCTCAACCCTTGTTTTTGCTCATAGTAAGTACTCTATCTCACTTCTTCCAATCACTATTATGCAGATTTTCCTGCTAAAGCAATGCTCATCAACTCAATATTTTTTAAGATCTCTTTGTTCTTTGTTGCAGGGGAGAGGTTGTTAAACAACTTGGCCAAGTTTGTAGTGATCATATGGGTTTTTGTTGTGCTTATATTGACTTCCAGTTACACTGCAACTTTAGCATCAATGATGACAGTTAAACAAATACAGTTGAACTCAAGAGGGAGCTATATAGGTTACCAGTCAGGTTCCTTAGGAGTGATAGTGAACTTGAATTTCAAAGGGATTAAGCCATACCGTTCAGTTGAAGAATATGCTGATGCTTTATCAAAAGGAAGCAAGCATGGTGGCGTTTCGGCGATAATCGATGAGGTTCCATACATCAACATCTTCCTTGCAAAGTATTCCGCAGACTACTCCATGATTAAAACCAGATCTACCACCAATGGTTTTGCCTTTGTGAGTAATCTCTCCACTAAAAGTTGCATGCATTCTGGAACATAGAGGGAGCTTATAGGGGACCCCTTTGTTTATTTGTTTTGGTTAAAGTTACAATAAGAAACACGTCACTCTGCAATGTGGTTTAATGATCCGAACCGTAAAATTTTAGGGTTTAAGCTTAAGATGGTTCCTGCAAAAAGTGATATAAATTGAAATCATATATCATCATAATTAGGTTATGTATAGGAAAGGCAAACACTGTAATTGTTCATAAACCTGAAAGATAGACCGATATCCTAGGAGTAGTCTTTAATAACTATCAATTTTAATAAATAAAGGAAACAAGAAAAAAAGTTATACTTTGGTAAGCTTATATATTAATTTGTTATTCATACATCTTTCGTATTCAGGTTTTCCCTAAAGGTTCGAAATTGGTTCACGACGTGTCAAGGCAAATAGAACATATGAGAGAAGAAGGAAAGCTTATAGAGATGGAAAAGACCTGGTCTCTTAGAAAAACAACTCTTATGTCTGAGGAAGCTACTACGACAGGTCCCAGTACTCTTGACCTCTATAGCTTTCGTGGTTTATTCCTCGTTACCGGGATTTCTTCAGCTTTTGCTCTCTTCTTGTTCTTAATTTTCTCCACAACATTTAGAAATCTGATTAGAAAGCAACTGCAATTGATTGGACGACAACTGCAGCGTTTAAGGATGTATTCCTGTCCAATTTAGCATCCAGTGGGAACTGAATAAAATAGTCTATTGTACATGATGTCCTTTACTAATTATATAAATTGCTTTCGCTCCTTCCTTGGGAGGATTCTAGTATAACACTGCATGTGTAGCTATTTGCCAGAAATCGTAGTGTCATAATGCTAAAGTTGTAGAGGGAGTAACATGCAGTTCGCTTAATGCACATTTGGGTATGTGTTTTTTTTTCTTTTCAGGGAGTTGTTATTGGCACTCTAAAAAAGTCATTCTACACTCCTTCCTTATAAAGACGTAATGGAGAAATTATATCCTGCCTCTCTGTATCGCACTCATCAAGAGGTGAGGTACAAATCCGGGATAATGAACTTATTTCTACTGGATGATGGTAACTCGATTTCCGCCAGCTCCAACAAATTATCGAGGTATTATAGTCTAAGAGGATTTGAATTAAGGGAGCTTTAGTAATATACCCAAAATAGGGACTGAAATTATAAAAAAACCCCACATGAAATGCACTTTAGAAACACACCCAAAACCTATTTACTAAATAAGAAATGAGTGTTGAAGTTCCTATAAATTACATCTCTACCATTGATTAACTTAAAACAAGCCCAACACAAAAAACTCAAAAAGAACCCAAAGCAAGCCCAATCCAAAATTTTTTTAAAAACCCAAACTAAAAAAAAATCGTGAAAATTAAGGAGCTGTCCTTACGACCCTTCTCCACTGAACTTCCGTACATTGTTAATACCATGTGATAGAAGTACATTGTTAATACCATGTGATAGAAGTACATTATTAATACAATTTCATAGAAGTACATTGTTAATACGATGTTATAGAAGTACACTGTTAATACCATATGATAGAAGTACATTGTTAATACGATGTTATAGAAGTACACTGTTAATACCATATGATAGAAGTACATTGTTAATACCATTTTATAAAAGTACATTGTTAATACCATTTCATACAAAAAAAAATTAAAAAAAACTATAACAACCCAGCAAGACATCCGATGTCTTTTGCAGAAACCACCTCCAATTGTTCATAGTTTCACTACATACAATCGCAAAGGCAAAAGGAAATATCTTTACAAAAAGAAAAAAAAAGTACACTGTTAATACTATGTCATAGAAATCAACTCAGTTGCAGGGTATGAACAGTTATTATACAGTTCATACCACTTACTGGAAGTTAACAACTACATCATTTCATTTACATAATCGGTACGATAAAAGTGTACAACTCCATACCACTCAAAATCAATTACATCATTTCATTTGCATAATTAATTGATCCTTCATCACTTCACATACCATAAACATTGAATCAGAGCGATTCCCACATATACTGCTCATCATCATTGTGCTTGGTAGTAACAATGACCTTATCTACAACAAGATATGCACCAGCAGCCAAGGCTTCCATAAATTCCTTGGTGCTAAACCTTGCAATGGTACCAAGGTTGTTCACCAAATCTGACAATACGAAATAAGAACAAAATAATTAAGCATAATAGAATAATTGGAACAACACAGTTAACAATTATGAGCCCAAAGCGCATAACTGATAAGGTGAAATAGTACATAGAATTTGAATAGTCTGCTATTTCACTACAAACTATAGGGAAAATATGAAGCCATTCACTCCCCACGTCAAAATTTCAATATAAAGTTATTGTAATGCTAAGTGGTTACATATATTGTAATGTTAACTCGTTACACAATGAAGTAAATAAAATATCTCCTTTTTCAGGACCTCCATGGACCTACCAATCTCTATGAGTTTGCAACAAGAAAGATAGATAAATGTTTAAATGACAATAATTAAACTAAAGTTGTTGCTTTAACGGTCATTTTTATGTGGTCAACGGATAAATATGTAGAGATTAATATGGGGCACCAGAATACATAGTAGCATGGCAAAGCTAGTAGTGTGATACATTATTGAAACTTTATTCAAGAAATCTTAGAGGATTCTTTTTCCAACAAAAGTTTCTGGAGAGACAGAGAGAGTTTTTCAATTTGTATAAGAGTTTTTCAATTTATTTATTTATATTAATTTATTCAAATTTTTACTTTTTAAATTTAATTTAATTACTTTAATTTAAATTGACATATTCAAAATAAAATTACATATGAAAAATAGTGATCAAATTATCCAATAAATATATATATATAATATTCAAAATGTACACATAAATTAACAAAGTACAATAAATAAATAAAGGGATAATCTCCCCTAAAATTGTTATACAACAAATCCAACCCAAACTCCAATCCCTCCCCTTTACTCAACCCCAAACCCCACACAAACTCAAAACTAACTCCAAAAACACATGTTAATGAAAAAAAATTTAAAATTTGGAGAGAATCTACCTTTTGGCAAGATTGAGAGTGAGTGAGAATGAGAGAGAGAAGTGAGTGTGAGAGAATTAGAGAAGATAGTGATAGAGAGATGAGAGATGAGAGAGTGAGAGATAGTGAAAAGAGAGATGAGAGAGTGAGTGAGAGATAGTGAAGAGAGATTAAGTGAGAAGAGTGAGTGTGAGAGAAATGGTGGGATTTGGGGAGACGGAAAGAGAGAGGAGAGGTAAGAGTAGAGAAAGACATTGAGAAAATGGTGGGGTTATTTTCATTTTGAAAACGGTATCACTTTGCGCGACGAAAGATGTTGTTGGTCGCGCAAAGTTTTGCGCGACGAAAAAAATTGGTCGCACAAAGTTTTGCGCGACGAAAAATACATATTGGTCGCGCAAAGTCTAAAAAAATTATATAAAAAATTCACGCGTCCCATTTTTGTTTCCCGCCAAATTTTTGCACGACGAAAAATATATATTTGTCGCACAAAGTTTTGAGCGACACAAAATATTGGTCGCGCAAAGTTTAAAATTTATTTTTTTTTAAAATCCCGCGTCCCATTTTTGGTACCCGCCCAAATTTTTAGAGTTTTGCGCGACGAATTGTTGGTCCCACAAACTTTTGAGAGACGAAAAATTGGTTCGTAGCACGATATTTATAAAAATAATTGTTATGAATAATAAAAATTTTTTTTTTTTTTTTTATTTTAAAATATAAATAAGGTTAAAGCTACTTAATAAATGTATATACCAATTTCTTAAGTGTTATACGTACAAAATAAATAAATTTAAAGCTACTTAATAAGTAAATAAATAAATAAATATATATATGCACACACCATTCAACGATTCAACCGTCAGACTTGTTTGTATATACTTCAAGATCGTATACCCCAAAAATCGCAAAAAACAAACATTCGGAGACCCATTAACGGGACAAAAAATTTCAACGGTTCTAAATGAAAAATCCCGATTTAACAGTTATTTTAACTCCGATTTTGATGATTTTTTTGACAGCTACACTCCTTGACCTTATATGAATACAATGAACTAATTCAATCGTCAATTTAAAATATTTACACTAGTGGATACCACAAAATCTTATGTTATATTTAACAAAAGTATAAATAAATTCTTAATTGTTAGTGAATATATTGTTTTGATGGCATACGCATTCTATGAAACTAGTTTGAACGATCCAACCGTCAAACTTGTTTGTTTATACTTTCAGATCATATATGCCAAAAATCGGAAAAAATAAACATTCAGAGATCAAGTAACGGGACAAAACTTTTCGACGGTTATAAATGAAAAATCATGATTTAACGGTTATTTTAACTCCGATTTTGATGATTTTTTACCGCTACACTCCTTTACCCTATATGAATACAATGACTGAATTTGATCTTCAATTTAAAATATTTACACTAGTGGATACCACAAAATCTTATGTTATATTTAACAAAAATATAAATAAACTCTTAATTGTTAGTGAATATATTGTTTTGATGGCATACACATTATGTGAAACTAGTTTGAATGATCCAACCGTCAAACTTGTTTGTTTATACTTTCAGATCATATACGCCAAAAATCGGAAAAAATAAATATTCAGAGATCAAGTGACGGGACAAAACTTTTCGACGGTTATAAATGAAAAATCATGATTTAACGGTTATTTTAACTCCAATTTTGATGATTTTTTACCGCTACACTCCTTTACCCTATATGAATACAATGACTGAATTTGATCTTCAATTTAGAATATTTACACTAGTGGATACCACAAAATCTTATGTTATATTTAACAAAAGTATAAATAAACTTTTAATTGTTAGTGAATATATTATTTTGATGGCATACGCATTCTACGAAACTAGTTTGAATGATCCAACCATCAAACTTGTTTGTTTATACTTCGAGATTATATCTGAAAAAAATCGGAAAAAATAAACATTCAGAGATCAAGTAATGGGACATAACTTTTCGACGGTTATAAATGAAAAATCACGATTTAATGGTTATTTTAACTCCGATTTTGATGATTTTTTATAGCTACACTCTTTGACCCTATATGAATACAATGAACTAATTCGATCGTCAATTTAAAAAATATATTTTCTAACAAAAACCCAATCCAAACAACAATAATATATTTTTCTAACAAAGATTTTAAAAAATAATTTTTTTTTAATTTATTTATTTTATAAGGACTTTGCGCGACGAAGTTTTGTTGTTTCGTCGCTCAAAGTAGCTTTGCGCGACGAATTGATTTTCGTCGCGCAAAGTAGCTTTGAGGGACTAATTGTTTTTTGTCGCGCAAAGGCTCTTTGAGTGACGAATTTTTTTTCGTCGCGCAAAGTCGCTTTGCGCGACGAATTTCTTTTCATCGCACAAAATTTGGTCGCGCAAAGTCACTTTGAGCGACGAATTATTTTTCGTCGCGCAAGAGTTGGTCGCGCAAGGTTTTTAGCGACGAAGTTTTTAGTTTCGTCACGCAAAGTGACTTTAAGCGATGAATAATTTTTTGTCGCTCAAAATTTGGTTGCGCAAGGGTTATTTTGTAGTAGTGCATAGGATTTTCCGAAGTGCGGATAGGCCCCATACGTGACGTTGGTAGTTCCGGCGTATGAGGAGATATGTGATATTGTGTTGA